ATATATGTCTCAATTCCTACAAATTATTTGTATTTTTTCCTACCATCGAGAGAGAGTGAGAGAGAGAGAGAGAGAGATTAGGGTTAAAGCAAGAGAATTTTGTAAAAAAAGAAAAAAAGAAAAAAAAAAGAGCAAAACTGTAGGAAGAGCACCTCAGAAAGGTAATAAAAATGAAATCCTGCTTTGCACCTCCAGTGTTCAACTGCTTCTTTGGCCATTGTCGCTCCAATAACCACAAGCAAAGGCGCGAGAATACTGGTTGCTGTGTAGGCTCTGATTTTTGTATGAAAAATGAGTTGCTTGTAGTCTCTGATTTTTGTGTGAAAAATGGAGAAACGGAAGATTGTAGGTAGGAGGAAGAGAAATGGAAACGATGGTTGCGTGTTGAAATTGAAATAATTTTGAAGCTGTTAAAATTGGGATGGGATGAAAGAATGAGATTCAACACTACTGTAGATATTGCATCTCCAGATATTAGAAAATGCATGACCATAACGTATGAAAATGGAGAATGGAAAAGTTAAAAAAAAAAAATGACGCCATTTTTTCTCTTATACAATAACTTGGGATTGGTTTACTATTCCTTCTACAGTAGCAATTACTTCCCTTTTTGAAGAGAAGTTAGACAAATGGCATATAATTCAATGAGCCACATTGAACTTGTTGATGTGGTACCTTATGTTGTACCATAATCACGAGAAGAATATCGAATCATTAAAATATTTTATAATCTTTTTATTTGTTCATTGTAAACCGTAATAACTATGAATTAAATTAGTGATTTATTATTATTATTTTTTTCATAGGAATAAGATTCTATCATGCTACTAAAGACCCACCTAATGAGGTACATAGTCTATTATTTATTTCTTATAAGATAATAAATTTTTAAATTCCACCATTTCCTAAACTGTATGGATATGGGCAAAGACATGTTAGGTAGATCTAGGGTACATCCGAAACGCCCTTACATGATTAAAAAAAATTGTAATCACGATCAACACAATTTTAATCAATAATCATTGTTGCTTTTATTTTTATTATTTTTTTTTCTAGATTCCACTTGGAGACTCTTAAAGAATTGGACTTCAGCTAATCATAAACTAATTTCTCAGAAAATAGAATTAATAAATAATTGTAAACCAGGATGGTAATTGTTGGGAAATTTGGTTCTATATAAAATTTATTTTTCTAAGTTCTCACAGTAAAAATTAGTAGCTAAAAAATTTATAAAACTAATTGTCTGTTTAGTCATCATATCTGCAGAATTTTAAGCAGTCTCTATCTTCTTAAGTAAATTCGCGCCCAAAGTGACAACGAACATCGTCCTAATTTGTTTATGGTAAACTAATTCTTTAGGTTATCTGTGCAACTCCGAAGTTTTCCATCAATCAAATGGCTTCTCAACAAGCTTTGTAATTGACATGTACTCTTCCACTATAGTAGAACAAACAACAATAACTAATAAATAATTGATGAACCATCATGCTACACTAACAGAGACCTCACAAATAGGGAGGAGGAATAATTTTTTATTCAAGTGGGACCCACGACATGTGAGAGACGATTACCCTTTCTGTCAATCATTTTCGATCACTTTAGCATTTTCCATAATCGATTCATATTGTTGATTGTGAGAATATACGCATATGATTAAATTTACCTCTTTTGTACTGTTACCCTATCATAAATTGGCCAGGTACCATTGCAATAAAGACTCTATATGGATGATTTTAATTTAGCTCTTGTTTGAGCCTCATTATTTTCATAAAAATGAATTTTTGAATAGTGTATTAGTGAAAAATGCGTAGTTAAAAAAAAGGAAAAATTTTGGATTTGCATGTAATATTATTTTATTGAAAAAAGTGTGGTTGAAATGATATCAAATTACTGTTTAAAAATGCATTTTTTTCGAAGAATGGGGCTCAAACAGGGTTTTAATCTAGGCAATTATATGTAATGTATTTTAATTTATAATTAGTGTAGTCTTTAATTAGTATTAAGACTATTATTTTCATAATTTTAATTAGATTAAGATTTTAATTTCATTTATAGTGAGTCCGTATCGTTGTCCAGGAATCTATTTATTATCCAGATTTTATTTACTACTTTAAATACAAGTTGTAAGCCCGATGACAATTAATTAAGTAGAATTTGAATTGAAATTTGAATTGTTGAGATTTCTTCAAATTTTTAAATTCTTGTATTTGATATTTAAAAATCAACTATTCAAGTTCGATATATTTGAGCACAAATCTAAGAGTTTAATGACTAAGTTTTTGGTATGCTTAGGAATCAATAAAAATTAAAAGGTGATCGTATTCTGGTATTCATATGGAACCAATGAAACTTCGATAGTGTTCGTTCATATTTATTTTCATTGCTTGGCTCTACATCAGTTCGTATCAAAGTTGTATTCATTTCTGATAGTATTTGTGGAATTCAATGACGAAAGGTATGATGTATGATGATAACCTTTTCATTCATTTCGATTCAAAGAAGTTGTGGACATAGATTTTAAAGAGGACTATGATGGTTCGCCAACTTTTGACAAAGAAGTTGAAGAATTTTTGAATTTCAATTACGAAGATCCTCCAATCTTTGACGAAGAAATTGAAGAATCTTGGTAATGACAATTATGATGGATCCTCTACCTTCGATGAGGAATTGAAGAATGTATGAATTTGTGTGGCGACAATTACAATGTTTCACCTTTCTTCTTTGAAGAGCCTATTTTCAATTTCTTTAATAGGTGATTCAAAGAAATCATGGTTGGTTTTAAGTGACACACAAGAGAGTCAATGGATCTTGAGATGTCTGCAATAATTCAAACTTCGTTCGAACTGTTTTCTTTTGTGTACACTGCAAATTTACCAAGTAAATTACCATTATTACAAGACTTTGGATGATAACACGGTATAAGATTCGAGGATGAATTTTCGTCAATCAGAGGAGAACGATGAAGATTGAATATGGATGATTTTAACTTAATATATATATAGAGAGGGAGGGAGGGAGGGGGGTGGGGGGAGAGAGAGAGAGAGAGAGAGAGAGAGAGAGAGTTCATCTTTAATTAGTATTAGGACTCCTAATTTCATAATTTTAATTAGATTAGCATTTTAATTTCATTTAGAGTTAGTTATCTTTAATTTTTATTATTATCTTGAGTTAATATTTATATATCTAGGATTCTATTTATTGTTCAAATTTTATTTCCCACTTTAAATACGAGTTGTAAGCCTGATGAGAATTAAATGGGTGGAATTTGAATTGAAATTTGAATGGTTGAGATTTCTCCAATTTCTTAAATTTTCGTATTTGATATTTAAAAATCAACTAGCCCAATTCTTCATATTCGTGCGTGAATCAAAGAGTTTGATGCTTTAGGAATCAACAAAAATTAGAGGTGATCGTGTTCCGATATTCGTTTGGGAATAATGGAACTTTGATAGCATATTCATTCATATTTATTTTTATTGCTTTTGCTCCACATCACATTGCCTAGATAATTATTTAGGGATGACAATGCGGTGGGACAAAATATTCTTAAGGGAGGTAGGGATCAAAATTGTGAAACAATAAAAAGTAAAAAGAAAGAAAGAAAGAAAAAGAGCCTTGATGGGCTTGAAACAAGGACTTGTTCGTCGTCACTGTCCCAATTCTCGACGGGGTCGGGGAATCCTTTCTCCATTCAAGGCGAGACGGGATGGGGGAGTTTTGCCACCCACTACTCATTTTCTTAATTATATCTAGTACAAGAGACGAAGAGCTCTTTTTATAGTTGCCAAAATAGAACTTTTATTTACTAAATTTTTGGGATAAATAAATATAGCTAATAAACCAATTACTAACAATTTTACCCAAACAAGCAGAATTTCTTAGCATTTTTCACTCTATGTGACAAATCAACAAATGGAGCTTAACATATTAACAACGTTAAAATTAAGTTAAACAATTTTCTCAACTAGTCCGTCTAAAAATACAATCTTAGTCTAGATTGAAATGTCTTTCAAATCTATGGATTTGATCATCCTATGACCCATCAAATTTGGTTTCAACCAACCAGGTATCAATATGTATCCGGTGTGGCATCGTGTCGAGTATGAACATGGCTGGAAATTACATTTAGAAAGGCAAATTGCACAACAAAATTGTTTGAGAAAAATAAATAAATTTAGAACTATTATTTAATAATAATAGTTGATAGTGTTGAAAAATTTGTGATTTGCATACAAAGTATGCTTAATAAGATAAAATAAGTAAGTAAATAAATAGAGTTTAGAAAGCAAGACTTTGAAGAAGAGTCATGTTGAAAATATTTTTTTAAACTCATATTAGTCTCCCTTTGCGTAGGTACTTACGACTTAATATGACTACAAAATAAATCCTCTTACGCTCAAAATGGTTTCTCCATCTACATGCATGATTTATAGAGAGAATATCAAATGAGCATTCTTCTTGACGCCGAAATATGAGTACTATGTATAAATGTGTATATATATAATATGTGAATGTATTATATTCTCATGTTGACACCCTTACTCTAGCCTGATCTGAACGTGCATGGATTCCATTCTCACCAACAAGTAAACTATATTTAGAATCAATTCTTTATTTTACATCAATTCAACTTAATACAGTTTAAGCTCATGGCTAATACCATGATAAATTGCCAAAAAACACAAAGACAATGTTCCTCTGGTAGAAATGACAGCCATTGAGTAGCTTATTGGAAGCAAATTAATGAACACAAGCAATTAGTCATAGTCCTCATCGGTGTTTTATAAGCCCTTTTTTTTTTTTATTTTTTTTGATGATGGGGAACCCGCAGTCACTACCCTTCGGGTGTGCACTGGATAAACTCTCGGGCTGACACAATAACTATCAAACCACGTCAATTAGGTAAATCGCACTAGATAAGTCCTATGCGACAGGCTTGACCGAGAAAGTGATGGTAAGCAGTTTTATTCTTTACAAAAGATTACAAAAATGGAAACAACTTCACAGAAAATCAGGCTCCATTGTGCCTTCATTTTACAGGATCATGATTTTGTGATGCCAATCTTGAGATCAAGTCCAATGTCCATTCCATTGTAGGCAATAGGTGCGTACATCCATAGATCGTCAGAGCTCAAAAGCTGCAGATGCAGAAAATGTAAAGCCAGAATAAGGATTCAAGTCCTTTATTTTTCCAATTTAAATTTGAATAAACCGATGAACCTTGATTCTTCTTAATCAGATGAGAAAGAAAAACGTTATTTTAAACGTGCAATAAAAGAGAATATTTATTACCTTGATCTGAAGTTGCAAAAACTTCACATATTGGACGGCTTCTTCAAGCATTGTGCTGATATCTACCTACAAAAATAAAGGACACTGTTGCTTTAGATGAGCAATGAAAAAAATATAGGTAGTCGGCCTTAAATTTATGGGGGAAAAGGGCTTAGCTTGTTGTTATAAATGAGTTCAATATTGTCATATTAATGTATCATTCAACTATACTTACCTTAGTTCCATTGGGGACAAGGTTTTGTAAGATTCTCAATCTCTCGTTTATTCTTTCTCTTCTTTTCTACAAGATAGGAAAAGTAAAATGATTATCGATTAAATATGTATTGGTTCACGATAAATTTACATGTTATGGTACAAAACAATCACCCAAATTCTTTTATTTCCTCCAAAAATCTTTTCCTTTACGTGGGAGATATCAACCTTCAAGAAATAGTTAATCACCGAGAGTAAGAGAGTAGTTACCCTGGCATAGAGGCTCTGAGGATCAGTTGCCGATCCCCTACTGGCTCGTGTCTTTCCACTTCCCTTTGAGTTTGAGCTCGAAGCCAATCCTCCGTTCAACTCGTGTGAAGCATTAGATTCGTCCTCTGAGAAGCAGCTGCTTGAGCTTTGCCTGTGTAGCACAGCATTATTATTGTTATCTTCGTCATTGTCAAGGTTCGAAACCCTCTTCTTCTTCGTCATGCATCTCTTGTTCTTTTGGACCTGCATTTGAGAATGACGATTGAAACAACATGGTAAATTCCTCTTCATCAAATTGGCAAACACTTAATGGATAAATGGAATGTTTTTGATATACAGTACTCAATATGACTGGACACTTTTCCTTTTTTCTCTAATAATGTCTAATTCACATGATAAAACATGCCAAAAGTGTAATACTTACTTCTCCGGGGATCCGTGGTCTTTTCTTGGAAGTCTCCAAAGAGCTATTGACTTTATCCTCCTCGCACGGCTGTGCTGTTGGCATTCCATGCTCCCTCCCAAGCCGCAAACCCTTCCCTTGAAAAACAGTTTCTGGCAGGTTTTCATTCAACTCTATACTGTCATTGCTCATATCCTGGTCGTTCATTGCATCGTTTGTGAGTGCTTGAACTCGGTATCTATTGTCTTTACCCTCTACCGTCCAACAATCGATTGACATCAATTTATTATTAGTCGCTAAAACTTGATCAGAGTCACTGTGGTAGTAGCCTTCAGGATTCGAAGAGTGAAAAAGAATGCCACTGCCTCCACTGTAACTGCTCTGTTGCAAAAAGGAATACAAACTAGCATTATTAATTTCACCTGATGAGCACATTGCACTCTCATCAATCCCGGAAACTTTCACGGTCGATTCAGGAGAAGGGCAAAAACTGGAGGAAATTGTAGAGTTAGAACCGCTGGGTAACTCCTTTGGGAGTGAGTAGTTATTAAGCAACTGTGCCATAAAATCAGCCTCTTCGGAGTACATTCCATAAAAGGAGCCCCATTCCCCTTCAGAAACTGCTCCAACAGGTTCCATTCTTTTTCTGCAGCAAATTAGAGGCACGAGGAGAAGAATTTTTGGGTTTTCTTGCTCTGTGCTTGGAAAATGTGAAGGAGACATATTTATATGTAGACATCCATGCCAAACAATTTTAGAACCATTTTAACAAAATTAATTTACATGTATAAAATAGTCCCATCCCGCAATTAAATATATGGGATGGGGCCGATACAACTCAGAGAAGATTAATTTAAGCAATTATGGACAGAATTGCAGCCTGTCTGAACCTTATAAAAACATCTTAAAATTGAACAGAAGTCATTATCAATATCATCTCAGTATTCTTCATATAACTTCCAATCATTTAAGCATACCATAAGGGGTTAACTGTCATAAGGGGTTAACTGTCATAAGTTCGTATCAGATATTGAGAATTTAATCGGGAAACTGGTCTTGAGGTTTGAAGATGGAGAATCACACCTGGCAATCTAGACGTGGGGGTCTTTTTCAAAATAATAAATCATTATCATGAATAAATATAATATAAGTTTCATCATCTTGGAGATAGAGTAATCCCAACAAACATAGTCTTTTCCAGCTTGGCTCCTATCTCCATCTTCAAACCCGATAATGTCCGAAGAGCCATTGCACTAGTATTAGGCGAATATCATTTTCATTACAGTTAATTGTTAAGAAATGACACTGCACTAAGGACAGAAATAATGATTTTGGCTTCACCTGTTTTGGTGAAGAGTGATTAACGATATGGATTGAGTCCTATTTCATTGTTCAAGAGCAATAACAACAAAAAAAGCAATCAGAAATGAGCAAAGCACTCACAGATTCATGCTAATTCCCCCTCAGTGAGAGAATTGTCCACTCGATACACTGTAATGGCCTAATGGAGAAGATACAAGTTTTTCCACATGCCTCTTGCAAGCACAAAATGGAATACATGTAGGAATATTACGATGACCCAATACACTCAATCTATTCACAAACTCAAATACACCAACCAGTTTGCCTCGAGAATAAGTTCTTAGTAAGTATAATTAGGATCTACATAGTCTAACAATTCTTACACATTAAGTCATTGATCATTCACAACATCACAAAATTAAGTGATTTAGTGCATGGAGTTTGAGGATCATTTTTCCATCAAATCAAGGAGATCAAAAACTTGTAAAAGCAAATGTGCAAAAGTTACAGCCTTTTGAGATGGGAATCAAGCACTGAACTAGAGATGCTATGTTAATTAGTGTATTATTGAACATTTCGTGGAGATAAGTGGTAGGTTGATTGGAAATAAGTTTTAACAAATCAAATTTAAACAAATGTTTACTTGTAATAAGAAAGGGCAGTGCAAAGGGCATCACAAAAGAGATCTATAGCCAACAGGCATCAATTGTTAAATGCTAATTTCCTTGACCAAAGATTATAGAAATGCGAACGAAGAGCAAATTACTATGTCATTATTCACTTTTGAATTGTTCTGCAGAATCCAACAGCTAAGCATATTAAATTATGAAGAACTCTCCTTTAATTCTTAGAAAATATAGGATCATGCCGTGCACAGTATAACCTACTAGCCAATATATGCTATTTAACCTTAAAAGTAAGTAAAATCTGAATATTTCCGTGTCTATTTGAAAGAGATGAACTTAACAAAGCTTCATCTTACCCATGAAGGGTTAAATACATTGACAGTAAACAAAAACTTGTAAACAAATGTTTACTTGCAATAAGAAAGGGCAGTGCAAAGGGCATCACAAAAGAGATCTATAGCCAACAGGCATCAATTGTTAAATGCTAATTTCCTTGACCAAAGATTATAGAAATGCGAACGAAGAGCAAATTACTATGTCATTATTCACTTTTGAATTGTTCTGCAGAATCCAACAGCTAAGCATATTAAATTATGAAGAACTCTCCTTTAATTCTTAGAAAATATAGGATCATGCCGTGCACAGTATAACCTACCAGCCAATATATGCTATTTAACCTTAAAAGTAAGTAAAATCTGAATATTTCCGTGTCTATTTGAAACAGATGAACATAACAAAGCTTCATCTTACCCATGAAGGGTTAAATACATTGTTGGTAACTAAATTTAATCTGTATTATAGTTGGGTACTCCATCGACAACCCTTAGTTTGTGTAAAGAATAAAGATGAGGTGATAGGAAGTTATTTCTTGACTAGGTTAACAACTAGATTATCATGTCAACTTTTCTGTTTCTGTCAAATTATTCTAAATGGAATGTAACAATCTTTGCAGCAGATAGAACCAAAACGACAGCCAAATTACCTTTTCCAATTATCAAACTAAATGACACGACATGGACACAGTAATCAAGCTATAACAAACTTCGCAACTCCTCGAACATGATACAATCCAAAAAAAAAAAAAAAAAAAAAAAAAAACCAATTTGACTAGGTTTTTTTCAAGGTTTGAGGTGGGTTTTTGTTAAAATGATTAGTTTTACCTGGTTCAATTTCGACATCGTCTCAGAATGAGATATTTACATAATGAATTATTAGCATGGCCAAGACTTCTAGTTCCGTAATTAAAAAATTCACCTCTACTTTTGGATTCAAGAAAATACAGTAAGTCAATCTCTCTATCAGGACTTAAGTTTCTTAAAAATTACAGTTCATTTGTTGAACACTTCAAGAATCAAGAATCAAAATATCAAGATTCGAAATTTTAACTGAAAAAAGTTGAGAAACAAAGATCTGATTGCCACAAACATGACCTTAAATTACACGAAAGGAAAGGAAAAACTTTGTGGGTGGAATGGGGGATAAACAACTAAACAAGATGTGAAAAACTGTAATATTGATACAGAACCCTTTCATGCATACAAATATGCACAGAAAAATGACTAGACAGATACTTGAACACTGTCGATATGGCCACCCCAAGATTCCGGCGATGTTTGCTCTTCAAACACGCGTCGAATCAAGACCCCTCAAAATATCCGATTTCTCACATTATTCTATAAATTCTTGATTTTTGAGCCGGCCAATGCACGATCTTCATTAGTTAACTGAAACACGGAGATGTAAAAAACATGCATAATTATTAATTCACGTACAAACACAACATTTGAATTTTTATTTTTTGAATAAATCATAGATTTTGATGAAGAAAAAACCTAGAAAAAAAACCCTACGGAAATCAGATTAGATTTTTGTCTGTTGGGAGTGCGGAATGTTATAGGCAGGCCTGCACGTTTGGGATGTTGAGATTCCAATAATCAATTCCTTTTTTATTAGTTTGGGTTGCATTATTAGTTCTATCTACCAAAAAAAAAATGATATTTTAGTTTTACTGAAAATATTAGTATTTTAGCTACAAACGGGAACCCTATCAAAAATGATACGGGCCAAATTTGGCAATTTGTAACATATATTTTCTTGAACTATATAATTTTCTTTTTGATATACTATTTTTAAAATTTTTACCGCAATTCATAGTTTTTCAATCACGTGTGCCATTGTTTTAAAATCCAATTCTAATTAGAGGTTTCAAATATTCATTTATTATTTATTTATTTATTATTATTATTATTATTTTTTTGACATAAGAGAAATTTTTTTCAAAGGAATAGCATTGTTACCAATCAAAATTACCAGTATTCCATTTGCCTCATATTCATGTGGATGGATTCATTTTTGGGAGTTTTGTATTAAGAGAAATTTGTAAAATTCAGGGCCTTCAAAATATACCTCCGTTTTCGATGTTTCCTTAAATTTGAAAATGAATAGAATGATATAGCAAATAAAAGTCATGTTAACCTGTTTGAAAAATGGGTATCATAAACTTTCTTTCACGTAGTCTACCAATTACTAAGTTTTGATTAAAATACTTTCGAATGTCCCTATAAACACTTTGTCTCACGTACCAAATCATAGATGTGCCATAAATATTTTTTAAGATTTCACGTGGATCATAATAAAAGATATTTCCATAATATAATCGAACATATAATTGCACATACATTAATAATATACTTAATTTATAAATACTTTGAAAAATATTTATATTTTTTCACTCACAGAACTATAATCACAAAATAAACTCGGTTGGTACGTCTGAAATATGATATAATTTTTAAATTAACAATTAACTATTTTAAGTAATTTCAATAATTAAATAGGCAATACTTTTTCAATTTTATATTTTTATCAAAATCGAGTTCATATCATTAATAACTCCCAAGGTAACATCGTATAATTATAGCCAAAACGTGAGACATTCACATAACGTCACAAAATATCATCTCAAAGTCAAGCTAAAAACATCAACCGCTAACAATACTATAATCTCATCATATCAAATATACTGAAAAATCCACAAAAAAATGTACCCTCTAACTAAAATATGTAATTCGCTCCTCGAGTTAAGAACTTTTGTCATAGGTCTTTGGCTCCCTCCGTGAACGAAAGCCAATCTCAAGACCTCTAGTAATTAATTCTAGAACACGGCCAAGGCCCCTGTGTGAACTATATGTACACGATTAAGACCAATATTAGGTCAAGACCCCTCTGTATAAGATAGAATACGACCAATATCCCTCTGTGAATTAGAAGAAATATATAAACATGGTTACTTTTCTGGTCGATCTCAATATTACGTCTCACATTTCAAATAAATCTCAATATCACATGTCTCACATACCAAATCACAAATGTGCCATGAATATTCTTTGAGATTCCACATGTATCATAATAAAAGAGATTTCCATAATAATCATATAATCGAATATATAATTGCATATAATTGCACATACTTTAATAATATACTTAATTTATAAATACTTTAAAAAATATTTATATTTTTCCACTCACAGAACTATGTTCGCAAAATAAATTCGGTTTGTAAGCTATCCTAATATCTGTATCGTCGTCTGAAATATGATATAAATTTTAAATTAACAATTAATTATTTCAAGTAATTTCAATAACTAAATAGGCGATACCCAACTTACTCATTTCACATTTAAGTGATTTTTAAAGTATCTTTAAGAATGTTGATTCTTTAAGAATAGCAGGAATTGATTATTAACTCTCGTTGATTCAATTGAATATCAAAAAGTGAATAAAATCATAATCTCGTTGAGTTGCAATGGTATACCAAGTGTCCATTTTTAATGACAAACTCGTTGATTCAAAATTGAATATCAAAATTGGACCAAGAAGAAATTTAGAAGAGCTCCTCAAATCCAGTATTATTTTTAATAAATTACTAAAAAAAATAAAAACAAGCATAGAATAAAAGTTTAAAATACTAAAATCTAGAATAGAACTCTACTATTACAAAAGACCTAAATGACTCAACTAAAACAACAATTAATTAAGTACATAAAATAAACATAAACAAAGTATTAACTTAATTAAAACTGGCACATTCAATCCTATTGCATCAATTCTCAGTTGATTCAATTCCTCTACATATACCAAGTCGTTTCCTCCTTGTTTTTCTTTTATTTATTTATTCAATATTTTTTATTTTTTCAGCTGTGAATAAAAGCGATAACTTTCTAGGTTTTCCATTTTAAGGACCCTTTTTCGCTTTCCTACTTTCTCCCTCCTCGTTTGTGTTCAATTCTGATTGTGCCATTTTGCTGCCTCAAATTGCCCGGCTCTACAGAAATGGAAACCATTTGTTTATACCATATATGTGTATTTATTCATAGAAAATCAGGCTCCATTATGCCTCTATANATATCACACTTGGTAAAGCTTTAACTGCTTTTATTTTTTCAGAGCCTAATTCACCTTACTAAACATGTCTAAAATGTAATATAAAGAAGCTTAATGATATATACTTACTTCTCCGGGGATCCGGGATCTTTCCTTGGACATCTCCGAAGAGCTGTTGACTTTATCCTCCTTGTATGGTTGTGTCGTTGGCATTCCATACTCCCTTCCGAGCTGCAAACTCTTCTTTTGAAAAACAGTTTCTGGCTGGTTTTCACTAGACTCTATACTGTCATTGCTCATATCCTGGTTCAGGAATTCACAGCCATCCATTGCATCGTTCGTGAGAGCTTGAACTCGGGAATTATTGTCTTTACCCTCTATCATAAAATAATCAATCGATGTGAAACTACTATTAGTTGTGAAATTTTGATGATTGTCACCTGGGTGGTAGCTTTCAGGGCTCGAAGAGGAAAATAGAATGCTACTGCCTCCACTATAACTACTCTGTTGCAAAAATGAATACATATTAGTATTGGTTCCATCTGATGAGTACATTGTACTTTCATCAACACCAGAAACTTGCACATTTGATTCACTAGGAAGTGCACAGTTATTGAGCAATTGTGCCATGAAATCAGCCTCTTCAGAGTACATTCCGCAAAAGGAGCCCCACTCTCCTCCATAAATTGCTCCGACAGATTCCATTTTTTTTTCTGGTGCAAATTATAAGCACAAAGGAGAAGAGTTTTTAGGTTTTCTTGTTCGATGCGTAGAAAATGTGAAGGAATGTAGAGACACATTTATACGTAGACAACCATGTCTAAAAATTTTTAAAACCTTAAGAACAATAATCATTAGCACGTATAAACTGGTCCCATCCTGTATTAAAAAATAGGGAATGGGACCGGTACAACTCAGAGAACAGTAATTTATGCAAATTATGCAAAGAATTGCAGCCTGTCGGAACCTTAAACAAAATATCTCAAGAACGAACAGAAATCATTGTAAATATCATCTGAGTTTTCATCAAATAACTTCCAATCATTTGATATAACCGTAAAGGATTTACTGCCATAAGTTAGTATCAGAGACCAAGAATTTAATCAGGAAATTGGTTTTCAGGTTTGAAGATAGAGAACCATACCTGGCAATCTAGACGTGGGGGTTTTTTCAATAAACTAAACATTATTATAAATAAATTTACCAGTGTCATAATCTTGAAGAAAGATTGATCCCAACAAATATAATCTTTTCCTGCTTGGCCCCTCTCTCTATTGCTTCAAACCTGATAATGTCTAAAAGAGCATTGCACTAGTATTTCACCACAACAATTTACACATTTTATAGCATTTAAAGATAGCATTCTAGTTGATAATGCTATAAATTAAAATTGAATTTTATATAATAGCATTTTTTGAAAAGCCACCAAATTGAAAAGTCAAAATCTTTCCCTCCACATCCCACTTT